TTACCTTACCTTACCTTACCTTACCTTACCTTACCTTACCTTACCTTACCTTACCTTACCTTACCTTACATTACATTCATCTACCACAGACCCATCTTAAGCGTAACTAATTCAAGTTAAATAAGCAATGTCTTAATCAAACTTTACTCAATTGTAAAGCATGTATAAAGGATATATTTAGAATAAAGCCAATATATAAACTTCCTTTCCGTATAGACGTATTTACGTCAAATTCTCCGGAACCGTGGTTCCACTGACAACTTTTTGTTCCGTTGTTGAAACCGTATTACATTTAACAAAATAATATAAAAATTATTGTGGTATTAATAACCGTAGTTTTATAAAATTAACAATAACTTAGATTTACAACTGTTAAAATCTAACAAGCTATGCTTATACAATAAACTGAATTGTATGGAGGAATATAGCTGTTGTTTTCAAGTTAATCTTTGAGTTAAAGAATTGCAGTTCCGCTACTGTCTACGACATTATTGATATTTTTCTGCGGTCCTCGACAAAGATGTGAGTAGCAAATGCGTCCCGTGGTAATAAAATTTTGCTGACTCCTGGCGTACAATGTTGTTCTGCATCGTAATTCAGTGGACGAATCAGAGGAAAACGTCCAAGACTCCAAACAGACGTCAGGTCCATAGACAGAATGTTTTATAAGCAAAGGGGTGGGGACAGATCGGTGTACAAAAATACACGCGAAACATTTAGTTTATTAATGTAATATGTTGAATGCTGCTTGAAAGATTTCCAGTTACACTATCTGAAGTCTTACTTAAAACGCCATATTGAGAACTAATAGAAAAAGGTGACCTTCTTTTGTTGCATTCAAATCTTTTTGAAGGTCTGTTTACTCTCGTATGGGATACGAGGCATCTACTTCTTTTCATATGCAGATCTATGAGAAAATTGGCTGAAGCTGTAACGTTTGTGACTTGTATTGAAATGCAGCCGTTTCGAATTTCGGCCGTAACAGCGAATATCATGGAATATTTTCGTAGTTTCATTCAGTTCCTCAAGACTATGCTGGGATATTTCATTTCAATATGCCACGATCTTTCCCTTTGAAATTCTTACAAGTTCACAGATCGTGATTGTCCTCACATCATTCTACGTTAAATATCAGCAGCATTCAATCCAGTGTTGTTAAAAGACTTACGATTCGTCCAGAAATCACTGGAATTCTTCGTGGAGAAACAAACTTCTCGCGGGCAATACGTAGCTTTGTCATCTAAGTTGCTGACCTTGTCTCAGAATGTAGCTTTGTGGCCAAGGATTCTCTGCGGTGTTTCAAGGCACTCATCGTTCATGTGAATGAATGGGTTACTTCAGGCCATTTACGGAAAGCGCCCTGCAAAAAAGTACTACGAATTAAGTTTCTGTGACGTAGGCTATTTTTTTGCCACGTGTAAATTACTGATTCAGAGACGTGGGCCTTGTGCCGCTCGAACACTGGGCCCATGGGTTCGAATCCCACTCAAGGCATTGATGTTTATCCGCATCTTTCTGTGTTGTGCTGTCCTGTGTACAGGTACAGGCTTTACGACGGGCCGATCACTCGACCAAGGAGTCCTACCGAATGTCTAAATAGATCAAGCAAACCTCCTAGAGAGGAAAAAAAGCAGACCCTGCCAAAGTGAAACAAATGCTAAAGAAGAAGAAGGAATTACTGATTAAAATAAGTTTTGGACTTCCATTCCGCAGATGGGGAGATGAAATATTCTAAACTGAACGGTATCGAGCACTTCGCAAGTTGAATCTGCTCTGAATTTCTCAGCGAATTCAAAATTTGATTAGCTGCTATCGTTTCCAGATATTGTCATATTATCGATATATTTATTAGCTATATCTATTTGTGCTTTTCTTATAAAACATACTTAGATTTCTTGAGATTTATTTGTAGATCAACCTCGCTCATGGTATCTAATACAACTTCTGGTTTTTTTGTGTTACTGATGTGTTTGCTAGTAAGTTAAAATCTTCAGCATTAACAAGCAGCCAATATGAACCATTCACTTCCAGTGACTTCAGATGTTCTTGGATCTTCCTAGTACGTTTTCTAAAACGAAGCTGAAAAGTAGTGGCGATTAAATATCTCTTTATTTTAGCCATATTCAGAGTGGAATAATAGACGAAATATTAATTAATGCAATGAGGAAGTCGTCGCTACGAGGCTTTTGAAGCAGGAGAGTCAAACGCCTTCTGACTTGCAGATTTTTGTATAGCGTCATATTCGTTTTATCAGGTCTGTCAGTTTCACGGAATGCTCTGTTTTCCAAGACCTTGCCTGTACCTTGCTCACTTCAGTGCTCGTTGGAGGAGGCAATTGGATAAACTGCTGTGGCAAAGAACGTTTTTATTCTGGCTTCTTCTGCAAGGATCAAAATAAAACAATTAACGATGGACAAGGAGTAGACAACGAGCTGTAGAAAACATAAAAATATGTTCTGTTGAATAATAAGAAAATACGGAGTCGTGAGTCAGCGCCACCATTGATGGAAAGATATGCAGAACATCACATAACTGCAGTGGAACCTACCAAAATGGCTGCGCGGTCTAAGGGGAACAATTTGGAATGGAATCGCAATGCACTACATCAAATAAATTATTAGTGAAACTGTGATTACTTGACGAGATAACAAAGCCAGTCACAGAGACAAGATGAGAGCCTTTCGAGGAAAGCAAAGACATCGTTAACAGTACAAACAATATTGGATAGGCGTAATCCATACCGGAATACATTGACTTTCCACTTGTGTTCTCTGCACCTTTTCAGTCTGAATGTCTCCTGTAGAAACAGGAAACTAATAATTGCATGCAGGCTAGTGCGCAAGGAGGAGGAGGACCTTATTCTTTTAGACCTCAAGAATTCGTTGTGTCGCCGCAAGAAAGAACATAAGTACAATATTTCTATGCTGTAAAAGCTTCTTGTAAACAACAGATGACTTGCGTTGAAAATGAGGACAGAAATGGCTCTCGAAACGTCGGCAGAGTTTAACCAAGTGACGCGGCTGCTGGCCAAAGAAGATTTTATTAATTATCATTAACAGACGGTCTATAGGTAAAAGAAGTAAAGCTGTCCCACTATAGGCGTTTGATTTTGTGTGTGTGGGGTGGTTTAGGTCTTTCTTCTTATTAACCTCTGCACTAAACAGGGGCAAGTGGTCAGCTTTACGCCTTGGCCGCGCTTTATCCCCGGAAAGCGACCCCGGTACCTGTTGGACAGGACACTTCGAAAAATGTAATTGGCAGCTGCCGTCATAATGTGATGGGCTATTCTTTGTTCTTTCACTGAAAACGCAATTAAGGTGTTTTGCCGGGCGTTAAACTCTATTAAAGGAACCTCACTCACATGTTTATCTTCAGGAAGAGCATCGTGCAATTATACGCTTTTTTTCAGAAAAACGCCAATGAGATTTACCAAGCGGGAAAAGTAGTTTCGTATTCCTATTTAAATTAAATATGATGTAGCATCTAAGTATGGATACACAGTAACCTTGACTGACAGCAACTGATAACGATCACAAGACATGGAATCAAATGTCCATCTGTCTCTGTCTCAAATTGTCTGTTCCTCGTGTGACATAACACAACGTATCGTAAGTTTTTATCGAAACTGTAATGAAAGCTAATGCGATTGAATACATATACGATATTTGTTCGAGATTTAGTTATTGCAATGTATGAATTACTGTGTAATAAGTATAAGATGGTAAGTAAAGATAATTAGTTTAGTAAAGAATTTCCGATAGACATGCTATACAAGACTAAACGTGTCTAAAGCTATCAACTAGACTTGGGCAAACTTTAAGTAATCTCAGGCCGGACCTAATCCTTTCATCGTGGCCTCAGGCAATTATATGAAGTAAATTATTACGAGTAGTTCAACAAAATGAAGTCTGAAGTCGAGACTAGTGTAATGAGTAAATAAAAGTACTACCAATAGCCGTGCGTTAAAACCAATTAAATATCAAAATCTCAAGGAAGCATTTGGAAAATATGTGTACTTCATGTCAGAATACACTTCCACTATTGTTTAGCGACGCATGCATGGTCCTTGGATTTGCATAACAAGTTGCAACTCTGCTGACAGTGGCCGAGCGATTTAAGGCGTGCTTTGATCGCTCGAAGACGAGGATTGTGGGTTCGAATCCTAATCGAGGTATGGCCTTGTGTTGTCCGGCGTAGGAAGAGGCCTTGCATTGGGTTAACCCTTGTTCAAGAACGACTGCCCGTTATCTAACAAAGGGTTAGAAATTCTACAGGAGGCCAGGGCTCCTAGGAACTGTAAGCGAGTTCAGGGAGAACAGGCTATGACGTGAGTAGACCTACACGTACGTGACCACGGACCGGTGATACTAATAAATGAACACAAATAACAAATAGTTTGCACATCTTTTATGACTGAATATGAAATTATAAGGAGCATTGAAGGCCTTAGTTTTCGAAGGTAAAAGAATTGCAGGACGAAGCGCTCCTTGTGTTTGTCCTAATGTTTTTAATAATCTTGATTATACAGTATAGTGCAGATCGGCATGAAAATCACGTAATTGAAGGTCAGTCCAACCCCATATTTTGTCAACTTCTGACTTTTCTGAAAATTATGCCTGACCTTGAGAGGTCTTCAGCTTAAAGCAACGCTGTGATCATTCGGAAATATACAGCATGAGTCATACTTGTTTGAATGGGGAATAACAACATATATGTCGGATTTGAGGTTTTCACAGCGGTGAGTATGAAGATTTCTGCGGTTAATCACCCTTATGACGGAGGCAGTATGGCCTCCGAAACGTTGGTAAACATCGACCAGACTACACAGCGCAACAACCCAGAAGACAGAAATCTTCATACTAAGAATCGCCCTGATGATGGAGGCAGTATGACCTCCGAAACGTTGGTAAACATCGACCAGACTACACAGCGCAACAACCCAGAAGACAGAAATCTTCATACTAAGAATCGCCCTGATGATGGAGGCAGTATGACCTCCGAAACGTTGGTAAACATCGACCAGACTACACAGCGCAACAACCCAGAAGACAGAAATCTTCATACTAAGAATCGCCCTGATGATGGAGGCAGTATGACCTCCGAAACGTTGGTAAACATCGACCAGACTACACAGCGCAACAACCCAGAAGACAGAAATCTTCATACTAAGAATCGCCCTGATGATGGAGGCAGTATGACCTCCGAAACGTTGGTAAACATCGACCAGACTACACAGCGCAACAACCCAGAAGACAGAAATCTTCATACTAAGAATCGCCCTGATGATGGAGGCAGTATGACCTCCGAAACGTTGGTAAACATCGACCAGACTACACAGCGCAACAACCCAGAAGACAGAAATCTTCAACACATACTATGTCGCTATAAAAATCTGTAACATTTTTCATACATTAAAATGCTCACTCTTTTAGACAACCATTTGAAATATGTTATGATGAGAAAATAATACTATTATAAAAATTGTTTGTGTTTTGTAAAATATAAAAAGGAGATGGTGTCTTTAAAGTTTCCAAAGGCACAAGGTGCAGGCTCTGGCATGAGCTTATATGGCATTTCATCATCATCGTCATAATCATTATGGGATAGGCTACCTGTTCCGGCTCATATCTGAGACCGTCTTTTTCTGGGTCTACCAGGTTCTCGTCTTTCTCTCTGTTTATATTCATATACTATTTTTGGAATCTGTCGGTCATCCGTCCATGTTATATCAGTTTATTCCTATACTCTTCAATCTAATCCTGTGTTTTAAATATCCCAGAAGTATTTCTTACTAGAGCAGGGCGCTCCTTTCGGAGCTCCTAGGGAGGGTTGGTCAAGTTTGTAAAACGCCACCAACCTTGTGTAAGAAACTAAACTAACCGCCCCGAATTGAGGGTTAAAACAATTGACCAACCCCCCCTTCTGGGAGGTTGGTTGCGTTTTGAAATCTTAAGTAACACGATAAAATAACTCCCCTTCGGGGGGGGGGGGGAGTTTGTGGTTT